AAGCGACCGAACAAAGCATTCCGTAGAACATCCTCTACGACAAAGTTGAAAAGGAATGGGGATAGAGGGCAGCCTTGTCGAACTCCACTGGAGACGGCGAAGGGTGGCGAAAGCTAGCCATAGGCCCTAACCCGACCTGAGGTATGACGATACAACTCTTTGAGGATCGACACATACTTCTCAGGTATTTCATTCCTCAACAAACAGTTCCATAGTGCGGTCCCATCGCTAGAGTCGAAGGCCGCGCGAATGTCTAAGCATACAATGACTGTTGGTCTTTGGTGGGCATGACGGTGCTCTAGCGGCTGTCGGAGGGTGAAGATTTGACCGATGCATCCACGACCAGCGCGAAACCCAGCTTGCTCCTCACGGGTCTGCTCTTCACGCGTCGTGTGCAATCGGCCGAGAATGACGGACGCCAACAACTTTCGACGCTATCGGGATTAGGCTTATACCCCTGTGATTGGCACAGTCATTGCGCGGGCCTTTTTTGAAAACCTGTCAATAAACGTATCATAAGCGTCGCAGGGCTTGGAAATGAAATTAACTAAAACCAATACCAATTTCACTGTATCCGGAGAAAAGTTTAAGGGGTCCGGAGAACATGTTTGTATCTTTTTCTTTCAAACCGAGAAACATCGAGGACTAGTGTAACCAGTGTGGAGCGATGCAATCACAAATTTAAAAAAAAACATTCTGTTGAATGACTACTCTCCTGAGCCTGCATGCATGAGTGGACAGTCTTCGGACTTTTGTAGAAACGCTAACGAAATGAGCAGATCAGGACAGGTTATGGGTTAGAGTAACACCAAGTTATTAAAAAAATCCGATTTGGGAATGCTTTGTTTGTTAACTATAAGGTCAGGAATATTACTTGACAATGCAAGATAATGGGGACCAGTTCTGAGACTAACTGTAACACCCTATTGATGTTCAGTACAAAAGTTTGGAGTAAAGATCAGTCGTGAAGTTTAGTAAGGCTGTCCTCGAGAGGCTGAAAACTATGTGGTCAAATCTCACTGTTCTTGCTCATTGAATCTAATGAACCACCTTCGCTTCTTATAAATATATAAACACTCAATGCCCGAAGACAAGCTTTGTTTATTTTTTAATGTTTCACTTCCTCTTTTGCTTATTGGTTATCGAAATGCACAATAAACTTGCAGGAAGGGGACAGCAGCTATACGAAGGCTACCCGGGGAAATACAGATAATGGTAAGATGGGCGGCTATGGCGGGGTTGGAACTCAGAATCCACGGGTGGTTATTTTGATAACCTTATCACTCCACCAGTGTTATTTGTCCCTTAAATGATACTCATTTACACATTATCACACTACCTTCTTTTTTAATTGACGCCGTTCCACTTGACCACAATGTGCGCTGAGCCGAAAACCTATTCATTGGGCTGAATTAAGGAATTGGTGAATCGCGATACTAACAACAGGAAAGAGATAACGAGCAACTGCCCGGCGATGGGAAGGTGACTAGATTTTAAGTTGAAACAGTTCGTCGATCAGCTGGATGGCCTAATGTTGAACAGGGTCAAGAAGAGTAATAGCAGTATTCGAGCATTGGGCCAATTTGAGATTTGTATAAAAGGAGGTGTTTGCGGTGTAAAGAAGAGCTTGGGGCGAAATCGGAAGCCGATGTCTCTGAGGAAGGTTCTCGCGTTATCTAAACGGCTAACTGTTTCCTTATGAATTTCAGGTAATTAGATAACGAAACTGTATCATGACTTGTACTTGGTAGTTCTTAGTTTAATAAAAGGATCATCACGATTTGAAAGTAAAAATGGAGTGAGAAAGTCTGTTATTCATTCCATCGGCAAAGATACCAGTCTGAATTTATGTAAGTTTTTAATAAGTACAAGATTTACTCAGTCAGTCATCTGAGGAACAGATCATTTTTATATTACAGTCTCGAGTGATGCACCAATCAAAGATCGTGCGAATCAAAAAGAATCAGATCAAGTCCAATCATATAAAGAGGACAACCGAAGAACAACATATTCGACGCAAACAATAATGTTCTTTCGGTTACCCTGTGCAGTTCCACAGTAAACACGTCACTGGATTCCTGCAGTGCTTGTTTACGCCTATTCAGTTGGCATAAACAAGATGCATAATCGACCACTGTGGCGTACTTCAAACATATTGTGACGAAAATCAAGTCAAAGGCCCATAGGTTCCAACGGATCATCAGAATGCGGTCTACCACGAACATGGCGGGATTCACGCTCAGTATCGACCAACTGACGATCAATGTTCCAATGGCCACACTCCGGAATATCCGGGCTCGATGACTGATCCGATAGCACTCGGTCCATTGTTTGTTGACTTGTGTCACCACCTCTTGGACGTATTCGTCGAAACCAACTGCTGACTCTTCCGCTTGTTCCCCTCCACCCGGACGTTCGGATAGAACCACAGTCTGTGATGCATGAATATCCGCGTAGAAACCCAGATTTTTGGTTACCTACAAGAGATGGAGAGATTAACGAGTGACGCACTCGCGTCCTGATTACAGACTAACCGTCCCGCATGCTTTCAGTTCTAAATGACTTTTAACACTCCGAACTACAAAAGCATCCCTATTTTGACTCATAGAGAACTTTGAATGATAATACTTGGCATTACCATACCTTGTAAACCTATCTACTGTGTCTTGACAACCGTCCAAGAACGCTAAATCAATAGTCAGTGTCGGTCTGGTTCACTTTGCTGCATGTTTCCTAGCAGTGTTCAGTTACGGGACTGGCGACGCTGAGATTAGACTAGATCAATTACTATCGCAAGTGCTTGGGTGCCATATATAGCTTTGAGTGAGGCATGTCGAAATCCCATGCCTCGTAAAAACAACAATATCAAAAAGTGTACGATGAAACAAATTATTCGTTATCTACCGTTTCCCCGTGCTTAATTGTTTCACCTTTTCACTTTGTTCTGTATTCCGATCCGTCTGCCTCCTATTATTGTTGTGGCGTT